TTGTCCTCTTACTAAATAGAAAGAATTATTTTAAATATCATGGATACAAGTTCTTTAATTGACATATGTATTACAAATACATACAGACATGAAAGAATCCCTCCTACTGAAAGGGCTGTAATAGTAATTCCTTTCTCACAGATCGTGCCTGGATGTCTGCAGTAGTTGAGCTGGTTTAAGTACCATGTGTTTGTACTGTGTATTTTGTCAGAGCTTTATTGAAACTGACCACAGCCACTCAGAACTCTAGGTTCAACATGAAATGGTTGCTCAGCACCTGTGCCTACAGCAACAGCAACCCACTTCCTTGGGTTGATACAGAGAATTCTATGAACTTATAGGGTCTACCTTTTGTCTGATTTTCTAACCTCACTACCTCCCTCATTGTTTTTAATGCCACAGGGCATGTATTTACTTTTGAAAATTAAAGGGGGATTAATTATAATTTTGTTTAGAAATACTTTTTTTTTCTTAAAGAATTTCACAACCCCCTTTGAAGTATTTTGAGATACCCTAGGGTGTTGCAAGGAGGGGATTAGAAACAATTGTCATAGATCCAATATTCCACTCTGCCAAGATGCAGTCTTTTTTCTCAGCCATACCAGTGTTGCTTTCCTGAAAGGTTTACATTCTTTATTTTCTCACTCTTGGCATATGCTTTGTTTACTGCATAGTACAAATAAGTATTCTTCTAATACTCTTTTTTCTCTGTACTCTTCAGGTTTTCTGGGTGACATATGTGCCAGTTTACTTATAAACTTTTCCTCGTTAAGCTTTTATCTTGTATTATTGTTCTACTAATGACCTGGTGTATGGATTCATGCACATTGAAAGGAAATTAATTAGAAGGTGGTTGGTGGGGCAGGACTGGGCTAGACGGGGCTGGACATGCTCTGGGACCAACCTTCCGTGGTCCCTCCCTGGCCAGTGGCACCTGGGGTGGCGCTGTGGCTCAAAAGGAGTCTGTGGAATGAGTGGGGTCCCTCTGGCAGGTGGGGTCCCTTGGCCTGGCCTGAGGGGATTGAGCAAAAACTGGCTCTCCAGCATCCCCCGAGGGGTTCTAGAATGAGAGAGGGCACTCTGCAAAATTGCTGTCGTACAGGGTGTGGAACGCAAATGCAAGGGGGCGGTAAACCAGATTTGAGGCCAACAGTGCCCCAGCAGCAACATAACCCACGGCCAAAGGTGGAATTACACAGCCCCGCTAGGAATCGGGCTTCCGCCTCTCTGGTTTCAGGGTGCATCACCGGAGAACTGCCGCTGCCAAGTCACTGCTGCTTGGCACCTCCTACGTTGAGCGTCTTCCTCCTGGTGGTCAGTGTGCATCATAGTGACCGGTCGAATGGTCGAACACTTAGCATATCAGCCTTTTATATATATAGATAATCTCTAAGTCATTCACCAGAGGCCTTCATACTAACTGTTGAAAGATAAATGTCATTACATGATCTAGTATTTCATACCATTAAGCCAGAATTACTCAGAGTGAATATAATTTTATCAAAGATTAAAAATTAATTTAGAATGCACAGATATCCCTAAAATATTGGGGAAATTTTCCAAGAGCATAGAGTTTAATGGTACTCTAAATACGCAAAAGAGAAAATTTGCTTAATCTTTTTACTGAGCACTGAAAGAATTAATGGGGTTATAACTGGGTGAGCAAAGGGGTAGAGAGAAACAAACCTAAGATAAAGGTAACCATACTGGTGATAATGTGAGCATAGGTGTAGGGCCAGGGCTTTGTATGCATCGCAGAATATGAGAAAATTATACTGGTAAAAAAAAAAAAAAGAAAGAGAAGTAGGATAAGTTGAGAAGGAATAAGAGAGGAAGTAATGTGTGGCTAGATAACGAAAGGATGTGAGTGCCTAGTTCCAAATAAAGAACTAGGATGACAGTCTCAAAATATGAAGTTGATGATGCTGTGGTTTTTGAGGTAAGATTTGTCTGGGTGTGTTTCTCTTTTATAGGACTTTAAAAAATTTAGCTCTAGAAAGTACTATGAGTTGGAATTTTTTTATTATGTAGAGAAGCTAACTACCAATTCATTTAAAAAAATCACATGATGTTGATGTATTTTTGTTGTTGTTGTTTTTAAATATATTTTTATTGATTTCAGAGAGGAAGAGAGAGAGAGAGAGATCAATGATGAGAGAAAATCATTGATCAACTGCCTCTTGTGCGCCCCCTACTGGGGATCGAGCCTGCAACCCAGGCATGTGCCCTTGACCGGAATTGAACCTGGGACCCTTCAGTCTGCAGGCCGCCACTCTATGCACTGAGCCAAACCCGCCCCTTCAGTCTGCAGGCCGACACTCTATCCACTTGGCCAAACCAGCCAGGGCTATTGATGTATTTGTTGACATTGATTATTAGGAAAAAGGAAAAAAAAAAGACTGGAGTCATGAAAATTCCTGTGCAGAGAAAGTGAGAACACTCCCATTTCTGTTGGTCGGCGACTCTGTTTATAACCTGCCTTTTTCTCGCTTGGTGTAGGCACCCTTTCTACTTGCCAAGGGGAGTAATGATGTGGTACGTCATGCCAGAATTTGTAGCAAAGGTCTAATGTGATGATGCTGTGGCTCTTGGCTCTTAGTCAAATGTGCGTGCAGCCCAAGCACACTAAGATTCCTTACAAGGTGCCCAAACAGGCTGGCTGTGTTCTCACTTATTGTGAGGCCTGATAATGTGCTAAGGCAACAGAATATGTGCTTGACTTATATTTGTTCCATCTAGTGAGCAGGATGGAGTAACTCTGGGGTTAATTTAGGCACACAGCTAAGAAGGGGAAAATTAGCTTGGATAAAACCTGTTCTATCTGAAGTGTAAAAATCTAATGAAGTTGGGACAAAACATCAGAAGTTAACATCAACTTAAGTGTTACGGTCTGGGAGCTGGCCACACCTTACTCTAGTGGGTAGTAACAAAGGTCTCAATAAAAACAAGAGAAGTCCAGCCTAGAGAAAACCTGCGGCCCAGTTTTGAGCCTGAGATCTGACTTGCAGAATGACAGGGGTGTGTCTACCCTTAGTTGAGCTGTTTGGACTAGTTGAACTGGACTAGGTAAGTCTTCCTCAGACTTTAGAGAAGCCCAGTGTCTCTGGGTTTCAATTTTGCTACAAGTGTAGGAATAGCTATCTGAGAAGCAAGAAGTTCATAGAAATAACATCAAATTCTTGGGAAGTACAAAGAACTATGTACATATCTAGAAATAGTATTGGCTGCTGAGGTAAGAGAATGGTTCATTTCCACAACCTGGTCTCCAAGAAGGGGCTGTTTTTAGTTTTTCAAAGGCCTAATAGAATCCTTTTATGTAGCTATACTGAGGTGGTCCGGGCTGATTTCGACTGGAATGTGATGACTTTGGGAAGCCCATGCTGTTCAGAGGTGCCGACTGGTATATATACAAGCCTTTTATTAATGAGGAAGGAAATGTGAGATATTAATTTAGTAAGTGCAATTTTCTGAATAGGTACAATATTTTAGAAACATGAAATTCCCGTGGAATAAAGAAAGAAAATAATTGAGGTTCACAATCTTTTATCTAAAACTTTGAGCCAGACATGTTTTTGAATTCAGAAAATCTTTGGATTCTAGAAATGTATTAGGATGTCTAGACCATACATCAGTGGAGTCTTGACCAATAATGCTTAAACACATTAATATTTCTACAATTAAACCATTCGATGAGATTATGAAAGACTAAGAAGACTTATGACAGTTCAGATGTTACCAAATTGGTTTGGTGTGAAGTTGCAAAAACCTTACAAATCAATTCTGGATTTCTGAATTGTGGCTAAAGTGTTATGAATAGACCTGCTCAAGTAACCAATTATTAAGTAATTACTACATGTCAGCTTTGAGATGGGGCCATTTGCACTAATCTTTGTAAACATCCTGTTAAAGTAGACTTGGTTACCTATTATCCATAATTTATAATTTGGCAAAGTTCCAAGGCTCAGCCTATTCAGTGAGTGGCCAGCGGCCATAAGTATGTGGCAGACCTGGAATTTAAACTCAGCTCCTTCTGCTCCAAAGACAAAGAACAATGTCTTCCTCCCTGATTGATCAAGACCTCTGGTCATTGTGATTATTTGCGACTGTTGCCTGCACAGTAAAAAAAAAAAAGCCAGTCCTAGTCAGGTAGCTCAATTGGTTAGAGCATCATCCCAATATGCCGAGGTTGCTAGTTCGATCTCCAGTTAGGGCACATACAAGAATTGATGTAATTCTCCCTCTCTCCCTCTAAAATCAATAAATAAAAATTTTAATGCCTTAACTTAATTAAGTTTTCTCTCCTCACCCTACAATCTTTCCCAGAAAATTCATCCAATGGTCATTTATAGACAAATGATACCGGCTGGATCTATGGCCCACTCCTGAGTATCACACTTAGATATTTGACTTACTGTTGGGATCTCCATGTAATTGTCTCACTGTCCCAGTGACCTCCAAATCGAATTAAGCATTTTTCTCCTCCACATTTGTCTTTCAGAATTCCCTCTTCTACCATCTCAGTTATTCCTAAGCTGAACTCTTCCCATTTCCCTCCCGCTCCAGCTCTGTAATTACAAAGTCTTGTGGAGTACAACACAAGAGCAGCACCGAGGAAGCTGGGGTTCTCCCAGTGCAGTAATTTAATTTACCAACCACGGATCTTGTCACCATTCCCAGCCACTATGTATAAAACGGAGGTTCTGACCAATTGTGGCTAGCCAAAGTAGCCTGGAATCCCATCTACCTGCTCAATGGCAGATTGCTAAATATTAAACCCTATCATTTTACCTTGTATTCTAGACTTCTTTCTGTGTTTAAAAACCTGTTTTCTGTGACCTCAAAATTACCTGTATTTTCTCTATTCCTGTGGGTGTGTTATAATATTGAGTAACTAAGTAGATAACATGCTTTCCGATAACAACTAACCTTTGCTCTAAACTTGTGCTGGGACGCTCATGAGGTGAAGTAACAGCCACCTCTTTTTTCATTCCCACCTTCAGGTAAAAGGCCGAGCCTGAAAGTCCACATCAACACCACAAGTGACTCTATCTTCTTGAAGTTCCTGCGTCCAAACCCTAATGTAAAACTGGAAGGTTTTCTTCTGGGATATGGCAGCAATTTATCACCAAATCAGTACTTCCCTCTTCCGGCGGAAGGGAAATACACCGAGGCGGTAGTCGGTAAGATGCTTGGCTCTCTGGCCTGGGAAGGAAAGCTAAAAGTAACGGGTGTTACGTGATACATAAAATTGTGAGGGCAACACCATTTCTTCTCCATCCTCAGCTGAATCAAATGCCAGAATTACAAATCCTCTTCATAATTATTATCCATAGCACAATTCCTTACATCAAAGAATATGGGATGCATATTCTGCATGTACTACAGAAATAATCAACTTTCTTGCCATTATACTTACAATCCCTGAGCACATACTTAGATTGCATAGGGAAAAAATAAGCTGAAACGCCTGGTTTAAATCTCTGCACTAAAGCTTATGTGGATTAATTCCCCCACACCCCCCAACCCCCAGTGCCTTAACTTTCTTCCGATGGAAAATAAAAACTATGGCTTTCTGGATGCCTCTTCATGAGAAGCTACCTTTACAAATGTTATTGATGCATAACCCATGGACACAGACAATAGGGTGGTGGAGGCCTGGGGTGGGGTATAAGGGGTCAATGGGAGAAAAAAAGGGGGACATATGTAATATTTTCAACAATAAAGATTTAAAAACAAAAACAAAACATAAAAAAATAAAAAGAGGAAAAATAAATAAAAATGTTACTGGTAGAAGTGTGGGATCCTCTTTCCCACTGGGTGCTGGGGGGTGGGGGCCTTATGATATCTAGAGTCAAAGTATTTCCTGAGGCTTGCGAGGGAGGATGTGTGATTTTTATTTGCGTGGAATTATATTCCTGGGTTTCCAAAGTCCCATTTCCTTTAATTCCAGTCCTGGGAGAGGTACAGCCGGGGAGTCAGCAGATCTCGAAGCAGAGCCAGTGTCCAGAGCTTCCATCCCATGTTGGAATTGGGTCTGGTACAGCACCAGGCTAGTTCAGTCCATCAGTCCATTGTTTGGGGTCCACAAGGCTGTGGGACATTTGGGCAAATGCAGGGGCGTGAGAGCCCTGCAGGTCAGGAGTCAAACAAGAAGAACCCGGAGTCAACCAAGAGCAGATTAAGAAAGCAGGAAGCAAGAGAGTGAACTCCTTTGCATCTCAAATCTTCCCACACTTACTGTGGTCATGCCCACTCTGGCCAATGACCTGTTCCCATGTGTGACTGACCGACAAGTACTTTTTCTATGTCTCCCAGACTTAGTAGGCATGCGTCTATTCTCAACCCTGTTCAGTCCCTACCCGCAGCCATCCGTGGGGAATAGACCCGTGGCCCCCTGAGAAGCATTAAACTGCGCTTCCTAGCAAAGCTGCACAAATGACATGCCTGTACTATGTGTCCTTCCCTTTGCTTCTTTCCTGTTAAGAATAACTAGGTTGCTCTAACCGGTTTGGCTCAGTGGATAGAGCGTCGGCCTGCAGACTGAAGGGTCCCAGGTTCGATTCCGGTCAAGGGCATGATATTACATTTTGAAAAAATGTTTAGTTATGTCAGACACAAAGATTAGAGTTTTCATATATATAATAAAGTTTAACATGTCATTGAAAATGTTTTAAATCACATTAAAATGTAATTTGGAGGATGTGGGCAACTTCAAGTCTTGTTCAGAAAAATTATTTGCAGATGAGACCTTTTCAAAGAATAACACTTTTTAAAAAAGAGATCATTTATTGTGAATGCTCTCAAAGGCTTCTGAACAGTCTGAGATTTATATTTTGCTCCACTGCTAAAATTATTGCTAAAGAGCTTTTCCATGAAGTTCTGACATTTAAGCCCGTGACTTGAACTATTGTCGATCAGATCTGGCATTTATTCATACATACCCAGAATGTTGAAGATGAATCTGTTTTGTCCTGCAGCCCCTTGCTTCTCATAGAGAAGTCTCAGTTATACATTAAAATCAGGTAAGGGAGTAACATTGTTATTTAAATGTCTAGATAGATTTTATATAAGATAATCACTTTAATAAGACAAACAAATTATAGTTACCAAAAAAATTGAGATTAAGGAACTTTGGACAAATATTACCACAATAACCTTGATCATGTAAGCCATAAGGAATGTAAAATTTGCAAATATTCTCACATCACATTCACTCTTT